AACAATGAATGAGTGGAAGCCCAAAATCTCTGTAAATGTTTATGAAAATTAATAAAATATAATTATAGAAAAAAAAAAATTTAACTGGCAGCATTTCCCCCTTCCTTCTTGTTACGTATTGCAGAGCTGGAACAACCCATAGTTGATCCTCTGTGGGTTTTCAGAGGAAGTACATCACACATGAGATCACCCTTCTTTCTCCTGTGGAGTAGCTGGTGAATCTGAACCATGTGCCTTTGGGTTGGCAGCACAGCTACTTCCCATTAGGCTACCAGAGCACCTTTTTCCCTTCCTTAATGATTTCTAAAATAAATCAATGTACAATGAATAATGTCTTAGGTCTAAAGGAATAAGTGTTTTAGAATAATAATTTAAGTTATGAGTAGAGAAGATGCTAATACTTCTGCTGTCTTATGTATAAATGGATAATTTCTCCATGTCGTAAATGATTTCTTTTAATCATATTATCTTCCATAAGGGTCAACCTCTCCTTATGCCAACAGAATTTTGATAATCTTCACCTGGCAAGCTTAGATACTACTCCACCAGGGTCCCACAATGTAAGGGTAGTATAAATTTGAATTCTATAAATCCATGCATAGTGCAAACCTAGAAGGTTTTAGTAAGTGTACTATGGCTGAAGGCCTCCTCTGCCTGCACAGTGTTAATCCTTGTGCTTCTAGGAATCAAACTAAGGCTTGCTTCTCCGGGGAAAGGAAAACACACAATACAAAAACCAAATAGCACTAGCTAAAAATTATACCTTGTTCCTCTTAAGCAGAGTTAAGAAACAAAGGAAATCCACAGGTTCCTCAAACAGAACTAAAATCCAGAACACTGCAGCATTAGCTCATTTCTTCTGAGTGGTTTGTGGGAGGACAGGAATCTGAATTAGCCCATATTTAGGCTGAAATTAAAGAATTCCTATCATATTAAAATTCCATAAATATCTTGTTTTTAAAGTGACAAAAGGGGGGGTGGGGGGGAGTAATTTTATTGTATTTGACCACTAATGAAATTTCTCAATAGTCTTAAGTTAAAATATCACATGTAAAAAAGTTATGAAGTCAGATGATAACACATTTGGATCATGCTCTGTCTTCTAGAACAGAACATGTAAATATATATAACAATGACACTTTATATTTGTTTTTGTGTGCCAACAAGTCAGAAACAAATAGCTGATCCTTCAGCAGTTTTCAGAGGCAGTAAACTGCTCAACCTTCTCCTGCAGGGGAGATGTTTGATTTGAACCACATGCTTGTGGGACTGAAGTGCAGCTTCTTAAAACCAGGCCAGCAGAGTAACCTACATTTATATATAATGCTTTAAAAGTAAAACTATTCCTCGATATTCTTATTTCTTTAACCTGTAGAAGTAGCAATAATTATTTGTTTTTCGTAGATAGATGGAATTTACTGTGATGAAAGAAATTTTAAAAAAAATGCTCAAGAGAAAAAAAGAAATGACTTACTCAAGTCACACAAATACTAAGAGGAACATCCAGGACCACAAACTAATTCTTTGGCAACTAGATGGTTTGTAATGGTTCATTATATTCACTCTCAAGCATCATTAACGTGGTAGCTTAAAAATGACACAAACAGCAAAATTCCGAATAGAAAATATGCAGTAAACTGGGAGATTAAAAAAAGACATTTCTTAAAAATACTTACTGGATATTCAAGGAGATCGACTGGCTGGCGGAAAGGCTCAGAGTCCTCACATTGAAATATGAGATTTAACAATTCTTGACATTGTTTTTTCCATGCTTGGATATCACAAGATTGAGCTCTATTCCGTAATCTTCTTCTAGGCTGATGATCCTAAAGCAATCATTTCCAAATACATTCAGAAAATAATACTTACACAATAAAAGTTAAGAGACTTGGGCAAAATTATAATTTAACTTAAAAATTATGCATTACTTACCTTCCTTTTTCGGGTAGATGTTCCTGGAATATCAGCATCTTTCTCTTCTTCCTTCAAAGAAAAAAATTTATCAGATTCAAAAAGTAGTCCAAATTTCATTATACCCTTTCAGTTTAACTACAAATTACCAACAAGAAAAATTTCTTAACATTAATTAAAAAAAAGAAAAATGCAACTTTAGATTAGAATAACATACTTTTGAAAACATCTTTTTCTTGAAAATTAAGAAGTGTAAATTTCTTCTGATGTACAGAAAAACAGCAATTTAACAATCAAAATTAAATACTAAATACCTCAGAGTCAGACAAAACTTTCTTCTTCATTGAGTTGTAGAGAGGAATTAAATTATAACAAGTTTGATCTCTAAATAAAGAGAGAGGAGTTAATATGTAAGATTAAACTACATGATTATTTTTTATCTTTAAAATGTTGCCGAAACCAGATTTTTAAGACAAAATTTGAAGCTTAATTTTTTAGTCAGTTGAATATAATACACAAATTTGTTTTTGTCCTCACTAACAATAGCTTCTACTTAAACATGATTAATTCCTTATGTCAAATGCTTATCACTTTATTATTTGAAAACTCATTCTTTTCACCTTATACTATTAGTCCAGCTCTGGTGGCCTAGTGCTAAGAAACTGTGCTGCCAGTCCTAAAAAGAGGTCTCTCCTTCTGTGTGATTTATAACCTCTGAAAATCCACTGCAGTGCCATCTATGAGTCAGTTCTGACTAGATGGCAAGAATTTTTAGAGTCTTTTTCATTGAGTTGTGCTGCTAAACTCAAGGGCACACCTCTCTTGTGCTTCAAATCCGTCAGCAATCTGCTGCCATTCTATTTACAGCACTGAAAACCCACCAGGGTGTAACCTATGAATCAATTGAGTCTTGAGTGAGTGAAGGAGTCTTTATTCAGGTTGCTGTTATAGCTGAGATCCTGACTTCCATTCCCTGGAAAGAAAGCTAAAAAACCTCAAGTACTTTTTGAATAATCCCAAGTTAACAGAAAACTCAGCAACATGATATAATATGGTACTGTATTGTATTTTTCTCTTTTATAAAATCCTGAATAATATTTCTTCATCTGTGATGTTAAAGACTGACCTCTGCCTTTGTTCAACTGGCACCATCAAGGAGCAAGGTCATCATCGTGATTGTCCCATATCCCAGACTTCTTTCCCGAAGCCATACACAACTTCTAACCCAGTTCTAGTGCCATGGTTTATGATTTCTTCATTTTTAATCTATTCTGATTTCAATGATCTACTAACACTATAGTAATTTTAACAATATCTTAATTGTCCCTGAGGTTTTCTAACTTTATTTAAAGAAGTAAGACAGTATAAGACAGTAACAATTATTATTATATTATCAGGTATATTTATCAAGTGTTGTTATAAATATACAGGTATTGATTTTATTCTCACACTAATTAAATGAGTAATACTCTATCCTCATTTGAAATAAGTAGGTCCCAATGTTACCTCTTATTTTCCTACTCTCTTCAATGTGCTGTCGCTGGTACATGCTAGGGAATCAGAACCACAGCAGACAGTCCAGTAGGTACTGAGAGGCTGTAAATGGCATGAGGGGGAAATGCCCATTTTTACTCCCATGGAGGCACTGGTAGATCTGAACCTGTGAAGCTGTGTTGGCAGTACAACTCTTTAACACGAGGTCACCAGAAGTAGTGTTCTATTTTTCCTTTTTAGTATTCTTCACTGCCCTTTATTAAATGACAAATTCTAGTAAAATGTGTAGTTTAGATAAATGTTAATTCTAATATGAATCCCTAAGTAATGTGTATCAAGATAATATTGTTACAATTCTGAAAGCATCTATCATCTGGGTTACTTCTCCTCAACTTTGGATAAATTCCTCTTCAATGAGAAAATGCAAGTTCTCCACCTTGACTTGATTCAAATTCTGCTTCTTTCTACTTCAATACTGATTGTCCTTAACCTATGGCTTTATTCTCCACTTGTCCCTCTTCTTCTTTTACTCTTTTTGCTTGGTATTAGTGACATTTTGTTCTCTTGACTCTTAAATCCAGAGTTCTCCCTCATCTCTCCCATCACAAAAACTTACTTTATATAATGTAGAAGAAGATCAGTGACAAATTTAGCAGATTTTACAATAGGGCTTCCAGGCTCATTGAAAGTTCGAGTATTATGCTCTATATATCGCACTTCCCACATTAGAGAAGAGACTCGCCTTTAAAGATAAAAAATACAGAATACTTAGACATATATGCTCACAAATTAAAACTCAAACTCTGATTTTGTTCCAATTTCTTAATCACAAAGCACATGTTTGTTTACATGTAATTATTTTCAAAACAGTATGCCCGCTTTGTAGTAAAGAAAAAAAAAGAGCAACAATATTAACTACATTCAACAAAAAATAAGTCCAAAACAAGAAACAATAATCTTCTTCTAAGGTGGAAAAATGTTTATGTGGGAAGTAGTAGGACAAGCATTTCGTTTTTGCTTTATATATTATAATCATATGTGGAACATTTTTGCTCAAAAGTGCATCTCACTTTTAGGCAAAAGTTTTAACCTAACACTATTTCCAGTAATCTAAAGACATACAAAAATGAATAGCTGACTCATCAATGGAAAAAAAAAAAATTAACATTTTGTTAAATTTTATTTTATTTCTACAAGAAATCCATTTAGAATTTCAATAAAATGCATTTCAGAGTAAAATACCTTTTTATATTATTCTAAAGAAAAATCTCACAAATGTTTTAATGTTAATTTAGAAAAAATTTAAATGCTTTACTTTATTTTAGAAGTTCTGTGAGCATACCTGAAATAATGAAAAGTACTTAGGAAAATCATACTAGTTTGTGAATAAAAACAGGTGTAATGAATAAAAATTTGTATGTTATTGTATGCACAGAGGTACACAGAAAAGCTCTGGACACTTCAAAAGCAAGACACACAGCTCAGTAAGAAAATCATACGTACCTTTTCATATGTGTACGTACACACACACACACACACACACACACACACACACACAGTGTAAAATAAGGCTGACAGCAGGAACCCAAATGACTAGCATTTTAAAAAGAGACTGAAGTATTATCAAAAGACACAGTTGTAAGAAGTGTGAAATCCAGACACCCACCAAAATCTGTAAATAGTAAATCAGCAAATGAAGGCATTATTATAGTAAATACAAACATAAATCATAATATTAGAAAAGTTTCCAAATTCTTCAATTATTTTATTTGTACTTTTCCTCCACTGAAAATTGGTTACAATGTTAAATTACTGCTATAACTGAATCTATAATATACACAGAAATATTTGTTAAATAAATGAAAGAAGTAAGATTTATTATAGAAACTTCACTTAAAAAAAACAAACCCACCTAAGGCAACAATTTACAAAACCTGTTGACTCTGAATTGCATTTTTATCAGAGTATGAAACTAGGAGAAAATACAAATAAATAAACTAACAAACATGCTGCTTCCCCCCGCCCCGCCCCGCCAGCATCCCTGTCAGAACTAAGTAATACTTGACCCTCCAGGCAGTAAATCGCATGCAAGGAGACTGTGAAGCAGCTGGTAGATCTGAACAAGCCTTTGGGACTGCAGTTCAGTTTTTCTAATTATACCTTTAAAAGACTAACTTATTTTTTCTAAATAGTCATAAAATGAATATAATTAAAATAATGAAATACAGTATCTTTTTATATTATTCTAAAAAAAAAAAAAAATCCCAAATGTTTTAATGTGTTCATTTAAAAGAAAATGAGTAACTAGAAAACAGATTATTCAAGAAAAAAGTACCAAGGCCTGTTAAGTAGCTTTTAAAAAAAACAAACAAGCCTGTTCAACAGTATTTTTAAAGTCAAGTGGGATAGACTCAAAGTCCAATTTTGACCATCATGGGTTTGTCTGAATTTTAACTTCAGTTTAAACTTGCACATGAGTAATTAATGGCCTGTTCCACTGTCTACATCTACTTTAGTTTCACAGCTGATACTGAGTCTCTAAACATTTTTTTCTAAAAATGTAGTCAATTTGACTCTTGTGCAGACCATCAGGTGAGGTTCACGTACAAAGTTGCAATTAAGTATTTTTTATAAAAGGTATTTGCAATGAATAAATCAATTGTATAAATTTCTATCATTTTATCTCCAGTCTCACTTCTGTCAACAAGTCCCTATTTTCTAGCTATTGATTCTCCTTCCTTATTCCCAATTTTTTCATTCTAGTCACAAATTACAATTAATGCATCTTGGTTGCACATTTGATTGAATTCAAACTGAAAATATTGGTAGAAATGTATTTCCTTCTCTTTACCTCTAGTTGTTGGTGCATATATTTGAATGATATTGGTACTGACAGATCTTCCTTGTATGCTTTTAGATAATATACTGTCATTTGTAACACTGTATTTCAGGATGAATCTAGAAATGGTCTTTGGCTATAAATGTGACCCTGTTTCTCCTCACTTATTCATTTCAGGTCACATGAATCTGATTCAAAATGGATCATGCCAATCCTATATTACAGCATGTCAATACCTATTATATCAATATTTATGCATTCTACTTCTTATTTAATAAGGTTCAATTTTCCTACATTCCATGTTCCTATCACTAGTGTCTGTCTGCAACTGTTTAATTTGTTTCCCACTATGAAGGCTCAATGTCCAGTGCCATACCTACTATTCTAAGTGTGCTCTACCATTCAAAGGGTTTTCAAAGACCTACTACTTCAGAAGTGATGGTCAATCCTTTTTCCTAGCCTGTCTTATTCTAGATGCTCAGCTTTATATTTATAACACTACCAGACCGACAATCATTTTACCCAAAAGAACAGATGAAAAGATCCTCTTGCAACAACGTCAGTTAAGACATTAAAATGTACATGATTCAGGCCATGGTCTTTGCTATTACTTTCCATGCATCAGAGAGCAGGACAATAACTAAGGATGATAAAACTGATGCTTATGAGTTGTGGTGCTGGAGAAGAAAATTGAATGTACCAAGGCCTGCCAAAAGAACAAACAGGTCTGTCCTGAAAAGGGTGAAATCAGGTTGCTCCTTGGAGGAAAGGATTTAAGCTATCTCACATACTTTGGATATACTACTAAGGATGTTCAGTCCTTGGAAAAAGGACATCATGCTTCAGAGGGTGGAGTGTCACCACAGAGGGGAAGACCTGGACTCAGATGAACTGACACAGGGAGACTGGGGATACGGAGATCATCTATCAGAGACAATGAGACCAGATCAGTATAGGGAAGAGTGTAGATTATTGTACATAGAGTCCCTATGAGTTGACTTGATGACATATAGTAACAAAACCAAAAATATGGAAGAATCATATTCCAAACAGTTTAGGAAGACCAGCATCACTAGAAACTTTTTAGAAATGCAAAATCTCACACACCACTCCAAATACAAGGAATCAAGTTCTGCATTTTAACAAGGTACTGAGAAAATTTAGAAGCATGTTAAAAGGCAAGAAATACCACTAAAGATTAGTAAATGTGTGAAAGGACCACTGAGTATCTCTGGTAATAACTGCATCAAAGGGTACTAACCTGTAAAATCTGTTTTCCAGTCTTTGTTTAATAGTACTTAGATCCGTTGGATATGCCACTACAGTACAATACATGGGATAGGCTTGAAGATCCACAGGGGCTACAAATGGAGAAGCAGTATCTAAAAGAAATGAATGACATGAATAATTATTTTAACCGCAAGTTAATTTAAGAAGAGTTCTAGATAAATTAAGAATTAAGTCTAATTCATGGGAACTTTGAGTCTGTTCCAGTGTTTCTACAGAAAATTTATATAAATGACATGAAGATTTACTTACTATAGCTAGATTTGCATTAAAAAACTTAGATGTATTTACTGATATTCATTCAACGGGAAAAATATCAGATGGCATATAAACATAAATCTATTACGTTATTTATTAAGTAACCTCTGATTTTCTCAAGATTTTATTAATTTATTTCAGGTTAACAGCACTATTCTGACAAATAGCTGGCATGAGGAGAAAATAGTTTAATAGCACTGATTTAATGAAATCCAGTAAGCTTGAGGAACAAAAGCTATCTAATTTTGTGACTCTTCCTTCCTATTTTTGCACATAGTGTAACATGACTTCATATTCTAAATACTACCCACACAAAGAGATAATAATTCTTAAAAAGTTCTTTTTCATTTATTCAATAGAAGTCTCTTTGTAGAGCTGATTCCTTAGTGACTTGCTACAAATCACAACACAAAACTAACCTAGAATACAAATCCAAATTTCTGGGTATTTTATAGAGATTTTCTTAATTAATGTTTCATGCATTCCCTTTTTACATTGTTAAAAAGATTAATTTAGTGTACAAAGCTGAGGTAAAAAAACCGGTTCTGCTAACAATATAATTACAATTTAGCTTCCAACTCCTCCTAATTTCCGCCACATAAATTGAAATGTCATGAGTTTTCAAAGTGAGTTCTAAAGGACCTAGATTTTACAGAAGTAATGCTGGCATTTCTAGAGTAATTCTCTTTACCATTGTTTTAGAGACAAGTTCTGAATGATATCTCATTCAAAAATACCTAAGACAAAGGACTTAAAATTTCTACAATGAAATTTTGTTTGCTAGATTTCTGTAACTGCCTTAAATTGTAATTTGGGCAAATTATTTTTCCTTTCTCATATTTTTTTTACCAGGTTTTAAAAATACAGACAAGATGATGTTTCTGGTATTTACCAAGTGTCATCAATTGGTTTATTCCTCCTACAATTCTTTCACATTCTTCATCCCTAGGATTGGAACCCCATTCTCCATCAAGAGGTTTATAAATTAATGATCTGCATTCAGTATCCGTTAAAGGAACACTAGTACCAAGTTCTTCAGGAAATACAGCTGAAATGTACAGAAAGAAAAGCAGAACAGTAAATATATGGGACAATTTTTAAATACTTAGATTATTTTTAAGAAGTAAAATATGATCTTAAAGTTTTATAAAGTTATGTTTATATTTAATTTTTCAAAAACAGACAAATTTCAGGGAGCTCTGGTGGCCTAGCGGCAAAAAGCTGCACTGCAATCCCAGAGGTGTGTGGTTTGAATTCACCAGATGCTTTGGCGGAGAAGGAGGAACAATGTTCTCCAGCAGTACCAGTCAGATCGGGATGTGACGGTACACACACGCAAAATCATAAATTTAAAACAACAACAACAATTAAAAAAGCCAGACAAATTTCAAAGGTCAGTAACCAACTTTTTCACAAAAACACTAACTTCATAAATGATTTTGTAGATTTTTATTCTTAGATCATAATTATTTCAAAATTATAATGGAATACTTCCTCCACACTCAAGATGCAGGTAAGGAAAAAAGCCTTCTAAAATTATGATGCAAATTTCAAGAGTTTTCTAAAGCATTTCAGTAAAGACAATTTTTTTGTAAGAAAGAACTGTGAATAATAACATCACGCTTACTGCTATTACATGATAAAGCAATTCTTTATGCCTAATCTTTGCGAAAGGAAATAGGTCATAATTTGTACACAACCAAATTTCTCCACAAACGATAATTCAACTTTATACAAATGTATACATTAAAACAGAATACAAATTACCAGATACCCTACATGGCTAGCAACGTTGTGGCTACGGCTTTACGGCACTTAACAAAAACTACCACCATAATTTATATTCATGTTATTGTTGTTTGTTGTTATGTGCCGGTGAGTCGCCTGTGACTCATAGCGACCCTATGTACAACAGTCCTAAACTCCGCTCTGTCCTGTGCCAATCGCACTGTCTCTGACACTCCCATCCCAATTATCCCAGTCACTGAATCAATCCACCTCATAGAGGGCCTT